TTTCAAGAAAAAAGGTGTAATAGTATTATCAAGACAATTAAAGATGCACAGTCTTTTTCAGAAAACTGACAAAACCCTATGTCTTCATCGAGCCTCTCCCCACTTACTTTCACAAGACTTTTTTTTCTCCCCTTCCCCTAACCCGCAACTCTTTCACTTTTACAGACTTTTCCTCTCCCCATCTTCTAACTTGTAGTTGTGTTTCTCCCCATCTTCATCTCATCTCCCTCTCCCCTGGTCGTGTTATCGTTCTTCATTTTTACTATTTTAAACTTGCAATCAGAGATTCAGACGTAGAAGAAAAAAAAGAAAGAGCACCGGGTTTCATCGAAGACAAATGAGTTTTATGGCGTTCTTCTAACTTCTTCCATTCATATTTTAGCTTTTTGATTTGTTACTTCTTTATATATCTTTTTTATTTTTAGATTTTTCATGTGGTTTTTGCTATTATTTTCTTCTTATTCTAGTCTTTTGAGGCTTTTTCTTTTTTTGCTCAGAGTCCACAACAAAGGGGTTTCTTCTTGTATAATCTAATTTCTAGATTTAGGATTTTTAATATTTATAGAATCAGTCGAATTCAAATCGATTCGAATATTCGATATTTTAATCTAAATCGAATTCGGTGGGAATTTTTGAATATCCGACGGATTTCAAATCAAACTCAAATAAGTTATTTTGTATCCGGAATTGAATTCAAGCATAGCCTAATTCGATTCAAATTCACTCCGTTTATAGGCCTAGTTCCAATACATCTCCGCCATGTATTGGGAATATCTCCATATGATGATATCATCATTTCTGATACTATTATCGGGAGATATTTCTAATACACGGCGGGGATGTGCTGTGAAACATTGTGGGGGCATAATCTTGTGAGCGGCTGATTTGATCTCATAATTTCTCTGAGATGACTAAATAGATAATGAATCACTGGAATGGTGGCCCAATTCCTCCAGTTACTCTATTTACAAGCAAAACAACTAAACAAAAGTCTGGAATTTGCTCTCACTGAGTGTTCCTCACACCGACCTTACAGCATGTTTCAGCTGTATATCAGGAACATCTCCTGCTTTTTGTATGTTATTATTATTCAAGATAAATGTTCTCACATGGTGGGATGTGACTATAAGGTCAGTGTAAGGAGTATGCAGTGAAAAACATATCCCAATTGGCAAAAAGAACACTAATTACAAAAATATATACATACTCCTACGTACCACATATGTCACTCAAAGCTATATATTTTAAACAAATCATAAAAACCGGACCAGTCCAATATTTTGCCTTGTGCACTTACTCTTTTATTTGCTATCAAAACAGAACCCATGTGCCAAATTACCCAAGTCTATGCCACTATGTGTAAGCATAGAGGAGCTTTAGGGAATGGGTCATTGACCCTATGGCATTAACCCTTGTTTTTTTTCCCTAATTTCCAAAAGCATTACAGGTATTTATTTATTATTTATTTGTAAAGAAGCATTACAGGTATTTATTTGTAAAGAAGCATTGCAGGTACTTTACATCATCATTCATCCAAAGTATTATTCTAACATGGGGTAGTACATCATTATCACACCAATGTTTATAATTATTGATTGAATCGATAACTCTAATTCGTGGCCAAAATTGATCAAAACTCTTATTAAAATACTCTCAAAATCAGTGAGTCTAAAACAATCTGCTCCTTCAATTACCTTATATTTTCAACGTGCTCAGGTCAAATAAAATATACGTCTTCACCATCTTCCTTCATTTAATTAAATTGATTGTTTAAGACTACTTTATCGCCTGAACCCATAGACGACTCTCACACACCTATTGTTTCTCATTTCTCATTCTCATCCTATGGAGGACTTATTCTCAAAAGAAAATCAAAAGTCAAAATAAAAAAATAAATAATGACAGATGTAGAGATAAAAAAAAGAAAAGCACCAATTGTTCAACCTGGTAGGCTACAGAATCATCCATGTGAAAATATTAATATAATAATAATAAGACACACAACGCACTGATATTCTGATCTACCCGCAAACATACATGGGCATGGGTTATACAGTAGCACTGGCAAATGATTCCTAATCATATATATTGGGTCAATCCATAGAATATAGATTTTAATTTTACACAAGAAAACTTATTTCAATCCCAAAATATTCTTGCAGAAATGTGCAGAACAACAACTAACTTCTAGGCCTCTAGGGGCTGTTTCGTTCCGTTGTTTTTTATTTAATATATGTTGTATATGTCATTCATATTGCAAAACGAGAAAAACATAAAGATTGAAAATTATTCTCTGATATTTTTGAGGGAAGTCATTAGGCGTTATTAAGCACCATATACCCAAATCCGATATGGTCCGGCCCAATTTCATGCCGGGTGGTCGACACGATTTACACCTCACTTCAATGTAAAGCTACGAACGGTGTGAAGACAGTCTGGTGAGAATAATCATAAATTTCCTCCCAAATTTATCAAATTATCATTGACGGTTCGACACCTTGGAAATGAGTAGGATCCTTTACATAGCGTCGGCGGCCGCAGCCAAACGGGTGAGTAGGATCCTTTACATAGCCAATGAAAAGCCACCACGTCATTTAAGACACTTCCGTAAATTAGTGATTCACGTGGTTGGTCCATGGGGTTGTCTTAAGTGATGCGATAATTTCTTTTTTTATTATTTGAATGAGCCAATGAGGTGGCTTTAACAGCTCCTGGCCCTAAGACCTTGGAGTTGGGGGAAAGTTCGAAAAAAGCAAACAAACCTCCAGCTCAACCCGAACAAAGACAGGATAGATTGGGAAAAATTTCCTGTCTTCATCTTATACATATCCGTATTTTAATACACAAAAATATCTTTTAGGGCCAAAGTTGGCGAGTCCCGACATGCTCCTCAAATAAATCGCCTCACACCGATCTCTTTAGCCGCACATCGAGAATATCTTTCCCATTTGTATTTAGGGTAAATTACAAAGAACCCCCTATATTGTGGGGTCTGTGACAAAGGCCCTTATACTTTGTTTTGTGATAAAGAACCCCTATATTATGATCGTGTGATAAAGACCCCCTTCTGTTGAAGTTTGCCCGTTGCAATATTTATTAATCTATATACTACCCTTGTAATAATTATTCGGATAAATGAAAGAAAAATATTGTTCATCTATCTTCCTCGACCTTAGGATACATGAACAACAACAACAATGTTGCAGCGGTGGTGAATTTCTGTTAAAGTCCTCCCTCTCTCTCTCCCCATCTCTCTTCTTCCCCTTCCCCTTTCTCTCCTTCCCTTTATTCTTTCCGATTTCCTTTGTTTTCTGTTCCTTGCAGATGGAGAGAAATCGGACTGGGCACACCAAAATAAGATTCCTAGGTGAACATCGACACCGGAAGCAGCTTGAGTTGGGTTTGACAAACTGCTCTAAAATTACAGTTCAGCTGATGATTATATAGAATTATAACGACAACAACAACAACCATGATCTGAGTTCATTATGATACTAACCCATCTCTGATTTGTGAATGTGAGAGGAAGAGACAGACATTCACAAATTTATAAAAGGTTTGGCTGATTGTCTCATGGCTGTGATTCCAAGCGACAGGCGGTAGTTGGGTTGTTGCAAAGATTCTCTGGCTCTCGTCTTCTCTTCACCAGTCACCCCTTTACACACTCCATGATTACTATGTCTATGTAAGTGAAAAAAGAGTCAAGAGAGAGAGAGTATATTATTGTTTGAACATGACAATTGAGCCATCCATTTAATTTCCAAGTGGTCCTTAAAAACTTTACCTCAATTGATGCCCACCTCCCTATCCTCCACACCTTCATTCTTCCCTCCCTGAGTCCCAACATAGCCAAATAGCCATGCTAGCGAAAGAAACTGGATTCTTGTAATTAATCTGTCATCGTCGTTGTTTGGTATAGACGGAGCTTGATTGGAACAATACTAGACGAACGAACATGGCTAATATAGGAGGATGGAGTAGATAGGAGGAGAAGGCGTTCGAGATTGCAATTGCAATGCATTGGGCTACTGACGACTCAAAAGACCGATGAGAGAAGATTGCTTCCATGGTTCCAAGTAAGACTGTAGCTGAACTGAAGAAACACTATGAGGTTTTGGTCGAGGATGTATATGCAATTGAGTCGGGCCGAATCTCGATTCCCACTTACGTCAAGGAGGAGAGTGCCAATAGCAAAGATCAACTCTTTCTTGCTTTTGCTTCTGGGGCTGTAGATAAGAGGTTGAACTATAATTTTGGAATTGGGTTTTCTGGGTTGGGCAATGATTCAGGTAGGGTTGGCATCAGACCCAACTCAAGCTGCTTCCGGTGTCGATGTTCACCCAGAAATCTTGTTTTGGTGTGCCCAGTCTGATTTTGACTGTAGTCGGATGTTCGACAAAGTGGCCTAACTTGATTCGAACTTTGGTCTTGAAGTCTCCTTGACCCAGAGGGGATTGTTTGTTGATAGTCGATTGGATAGAGGGAACTCGGAGTTCTTCTTGGAGAATGATTTCATGGAGACCGAGACTTGCTTTGCCTAGTGGTGAGTAAGGTCCAGTTATGTCCACTAGATGCATCTTTTTGTAATGATCCGAACTTGCATGCAGAAACCATGGAAAGCTCACTATATTATTAGTTTACTCTTTCTCTCACTCAGAGAGAGGGAGGACTTTAACGGAAGTCCATTACCACTGCAATAGCTACCGCCGCTGCTGTTCGTGTATCATGAGGTCAAAGAAGATGAACAATATTTTTTTCCAATTGTTCAATAGTTATTATAAAGATAATATGGGAATTAAAAAATATTGCAAGAATTAAAAAATATTGCAACGGCAAAGTTAAACAAAAGGCTAACGGAATAGGGTTTTTGTCTCACGGTCATACTACAGGGTGTTTGTCGCAAAACAAAATACAGGGGGTCTTTGTCACATACCCCATATTACAGGGGTCATTATAATTTACCCTTGTATTTATTATTATTTATGGAGAGACGTGAGGCGCGATTTGTAAGGAGCAGATCCCAGTTCAAAGTTGACTATCGCTTGTCTGCGGTCTTCATTTTCGTTGAATTTTTTTCATATTCGAAGATCGTAGAATAGGATTGCTCATGTGTTAACTGGTTTTTGTTGTTTTACTACTCTTGAGAAGGATTGGTCTGAGGTCCGTCCATCTTCTATTAATCAGTTCTTTGTTGATATTACAAAATTTCCTTTCAGCTAAAAATCAAGAGCTACTGATCCTATTTGCGGTGGATGTTGAAGTTAAACAACGCGTTTCGGCTTTTTCCTTGAATTTTCTGCTTCGGATAGAATCAAAAGTCTTTTCCCTCCCCTTTTAAGTTCGTTTGTACAATGAATCGCTTCTAACTAGAAAAGCCATCGAAATTCTCTTCAGATCTCTGCAATTGACTTGTTTTTCCGGTAAAGCATCTGTTCTCTTTATATTAATGAAACGATGATGAAGCTGCATCTTTTTTCCCCTTCTTTATTTTGCTCGAATTCCTCCTATCTTTTCGTTTTCCCTTCTCTTTTTGTTTGTGAATAGCCTTTCTGGGATTCACCTTTCTTCACCTTTCTCTTTTTGTCTTTCTTAATATGCTTCTGAAAAAGTGGAATTTTCCGAGATACAGTTCCCGGAATATGTATCTTCGTTTTTGTTTGTTTCTTTTTCGTTTGATGTGCGTCGATCTTTCTTTTACCATATGAGATTATGCAAGATACTGCTCAGGAAGATTATTCGTTCTTATTGGTAATGACAGACATTATTTTTCTCGATTGGATTGGGTCCTCGTGAACAATCATCTGATTCTTGTTTACTCTATTAAGTTCTCACAGAATTTGATGAATCTAAGGCTTTTGGTAACGTTTTGTTGGAACCTTTTTGTTGTTCTGGGCAACAGAAAAGAATTGATTTCCTTCCAAGAAAAAAAAAAGAAAAAGAAAAGCAGTTTCTGATCCCCGGACCAAAGTTGACTAAACGTCACCTAACGCCGTCAAGTTACTACTTTCAATTGTTTTGGTCCTGAAAAACAGGTTTCATTTGTATGCTTAAAAAGGGACATTCTGTTCTTGGGATGTAACATTTTGTAGGTTGATTTATGTGCCTGTAGAACAGCTTGAAACTCAAGCCATGCCCCAAAATTTTGTCGGTTGATTTATGTTCTTGGGATGCAAATTTTTTGTGGGTTAGTTTATATGTTTTGCAAGGGAAATTATGTGCTTGTTCAGTTTCGGCTCGAGAAACTGAAATGACCTAATTTTCTTATGCCAATTGATCTCTCATGGAATGTGGTAAATCATACTTTCTTCCTGATTAAGTCTTCGGTGTATCCATGATCTGGATTATTATAGGAAGAGGGTATAGAAAAACAAAGTTCGTAATGTGATAGATTGACTTTCTTATTTGTTATCATCGGAATCCAAATTGGCCAGTTCAGATGCCAATGAGAAGTGGCATGTGAATTTTGGAATTGGCTTATAGCGTGGAGCGTTGGAATATCTTTATGTTCACACTTTGGCTATGTTTGGTTTGAAGGAAAATGTAGGGAAAGGTAAGGAAACCTTTACAAACCTTGTATTGGTTTCCCTGTCTTTCCCTTCCTTTCCCTACCTTTTCCTTCAAACCAAACATAGCCTTTATGCATCTCTCTTTAGGACATCTTAGGTTGCGTTTGGTAAAAGTGAAAATGTAGAATTAAAGTGAATTTGCACTCAAGTTCAGCTTTGCAGTTATTTGGTAAGAATTTTGGATTCAAAATGGGAGCAAAGTTTGCTTCAAAAAGATGGAAACAATCTTTGCACTCAAAGTTGGTTAGTGCAAAATAGGTTGGTTTCAGCCCCAAGATTCATGTTTGCAGCCATCACAACCAAACAGGATACTCTAAATTTCTCAGTGCAAAACCAAACCGGTTTTGCATCTATATGAACAAATTTGCATTCACTTTTTGTACTCTTGCCAAACACAGCCTAAGCTCTTATTGATGTTGACCTGATTTAATTTATATAGTTTATGCATGCATTATATAAATAATATGTCACTGCTGCCTTGTATGTATCTATTTGTAAACTCCAGTGGCAAAAGATAAGGTAGGTATAAATGTTTAATTTTCCTATTGATTGTTGATGGTTGATCATCCACTTTAATGCTGTGAAAAGGGTAATAAAAAGAATGAAAGAAAAAAGTAAAAAACAAAGAGGAGAATGCGTAAGATTTATGTGGTTTGTCGCTTTATACCTATGTCCATGGAAGATCCATGCAGAATTCATCATTCCCAAATCAACAGTGTACAACTAGGAATAGATGTCTACTGAAAACACCCCTCTAGTTCTTTTGGACCCCTTGCTTTTCTTGTTAATTCATCCCTTTAATACAATGTACTATTTACTACATAAACTAATTAAAGATGTTCGGCAGCCTAGTGCACGAGGCTCCCGCCAATGCGGGGTCTGGGGAGGGATAGATGTTTGTGGCCTTATCCCTGCACATACAGAGAGGCTGTTTCCAAGATTTGAACCCTGATCACCCAGGTTGCAATGGAGCAACCCAACCATTGTGCCAAGGCCCCCCCAACTAATTAAAGATGTTCATAGATTGAAAATCACATTCGTAGGTGATGGTGCGCGATCTGACTACTCCTAGCTGGAGGGCGATCCAGACTCCAGGTGGACGGCGAGCTGGATCGATCTGCAAAACAATCTATCAGAGAACCTGGGGTAGCTAACCCGGCGAGGTCGTTCCGATGCTTAAGTCAGTAAGTATGCTGTAAATGCGAGCTGAATGCTTGAAAGCTTGAGTGCTAGAGAGTAGAGTAATCACGCGTACCTTTGCCTTGAGGTTTCTGTCTTTATATACTGGAGTAATCGTGGGTCTCATGAAAGAGCTCCGGGATCTCCGGGGTGTGGAGATAAGGTTCGTTATGCTTTTGAAGAAGTAGTATGTAGATAAGGCTTATCGTTTCACCTCCGACTCTGGCGGAGTCGGGACGAGTTCTCATCGTGATCTCGGAAAAGTTGGGATATGTTAGCTCATTGTGATCTCGAGAAACTTGGGATCTGTTGGAGAGGCCTCTGGAGTCGGTTACGTGGCGATTTGGGTCATTAGCTCTGAGCTGGTACTTCGATTTTTTAGTCTTGAACTGGATTGGATGCCAAGGTGCCTCTACACCGAAGTGGGTTTTGGGTCGAGGTGGCTGAATACCCGAGCTCCAAATGTTGCGAACTAGGCTTGCCAGGCTGATCTGTCATCCCTTGATCAGATCGCGCCCACGTGTCCCCTTCTTGCTAGGTTGAGCCAAATCACCCTTCATCAGTAGGCTAGTTAATTATGTCAATGGGCTTGACATTCAGAGTGGTTTTTAGCGTAGTGGAGGGCAATATGGTTGTACAGATTTAAAGTTTTAGGTGACACTATCATCTTTTGCCAGTAGTATCAAGAGAATGGTACTAGGAACTTGAAAGCCATGTCCACTTGTTTTAAAAGGATTTTAGGATTCAAGGTGAACTTAGCAAACAACATTTCAGGCATAAACCTTGAGAATGGATAACTTAAGGAATAAGGAGCATGCTAAATGCATGGATGTGAAATCTTTGAGTAGCCACATGAGTACCTTGGTTTTGTTCTTGGAGATCAATAAATTTCTGGAATGAGATAATTGAAAGTTTTTTTTTTTTTTATTTATTTTTTTGGAAGAGATGGTGGCATGAAAGAAGAACTACATCTCCTTAGGGGGGAAGGATCATCCTAACTAAGTGTTTTTCTCTAACTGCTGGTTTATTCTTAGTCTTTAAAGCTCCTATCAAGGTGATAAGACAGTGGAAAAAGTTGTGGACGATCTTTTTTGGGATGTCATGAAACTTAAGAAGACCACCTTAATAACTGGAGATTGTTGTAAAATGATAGTGGATGGCGACTTATGTATAGGATAATGAAGGATATAAACATGCTCCCTCTAGGAAAATGGCTGTGGGAATTTTTTGGAGAGTTCAGCAGTATGGTTTTCAAAATAATGGGTGAAGATAGTGGTTCTACCAACAATGTCACTGTGGTATACCCTTGGAATATGCATTAGAATTCCTCCTGTCTCCTTTCTGTCCTTCAGATGTGTTGTTATTAGTATGGGTTGGGAAAAACTTGTGGTGGGGAGATTTCCCATAATACAGTCTTGTGTACCATTTGATATAGTGTTTGGATGAGGCAATTTTGCCTTTTGGAATGTTCTTTCAACACTCTTTCATTCTTGTAAATTCTCTTTTTTCATTTCATTAATGAATTTTACTCTTCTATCAGGAAAGAAAAAAGGATTTCACAATGTAGGTTGCATTTTATTTCAAAAAGCGTTTGGGCAAGAGATACATCTTCACTTTTTGAAGAGTTCTCTCAACATTGTTTTACTTTTGTAAAATTTCTTTTTCATTTTATTAATAATTTTTTGCTCTACAATCAAAAAAAGGAATTTCTGTAGTGATAAAGATTTCTATATTTTATCCTGTTGGTTCTTTTTTTTTTTTCTTATCATGAAAGCCTTGCTATCTCATTCAATTGTCAAAGATGTCTTTACTTATCCCAAGGCTATTGGTTCTTGGGTGTGGACACTCAGTCATAATAGACACTTAAGTTTCTTGAAAGTTGAAACAAGTGTCTAATTGACTAATCGTACAGTTTGTTTAATAAATTTCAAAAGCTATATATGGTTAGACCTTTCCTTTTACAAATAAGACTTGTAAATGTGAGATGTTGTAAACATGACAGAGGACTTGGAATTTTCCTCACATGTGTGTCCTGTTCAAGGTAAGCAGGGAATTGGTTAATCTGTTATTACATGTTATACCTTTAAGACATGAAATTATTTCAAACCACTCTTTGGATTCCAGTGGCAACTCCTGGATGATATCTGGGGTTTGTTGGATACTAGCTTCTTCTCACCTCCTGCCAGGAGAAGGAAAATGATATTAAAGAGAAGTCAAGTGTGATCCTATGGAGTAAATAAATTGGAGGACCCTAGAATTTTCTGCAGTAGTCTTGAGATGGAAATGATGACAGTTATTGAGAAGATGGTTGAGGTTGAGGTTGGGTTTTTAAGATGATGCTCTTTTTGGGTTTTGTTAGGTTTGAGGTTGATAGCTACTCCTAGCTTGTTAGCTGGATGCATTGTGGTGCAGAATCGGCATGGAGTTTGAAATATGTTATCAGGGAGGCAAGATCCCGGTTTATTTTAGTTGTGGGTTAGCCTTTAAAAAAGGATGGTTGTGCTCCCATGATTGAGCATCATGTAATTCTGTGTTTGTCATATCTGTACTTCAATTTTGATAATTTCAACAGCTTTTTTTTTTCATTGATAATAAAGAGTTCTGGTGCCCAGAGTGAACTCTAAATGGATTCTAAGGTTAGCCAATTCCTTTGCCAAGAGGCCTTGCTAGAGGGTAAGTTCATAGGGTTGGTTATTTTTGGGGATCAGACATTCAGGGATTGTTAGTTGTTTCTGCTATTTCTTTTGGTGCTTTATATGTTCTGGTGCTTGTACTATTTTTCCCTCTTGTAGTTGCTTCAATCTATTTCATTGTCTCATGCAGATTTTCTAAATTTCCAAGGTTGATGATCTTTTGCAATGTAACATTGCAGTTCAGAAAGAACTATGGGTGATTGTAAATCTGAGCACTTCTTGAGAGACTTCTATATCCCGAGTTACATTCTTGTGCCCGACTTAGAGGTTGAACCTGTTTCCTATATCCCTGCCTGCCCTGTATTGGTGTTCATAAACTCCAGAAGTGGTGGTCAGCTTGGTGGGTCTTTGCTTGAAACATATCATGATCTTCTCAACAAAGATCAGGTATTGCCAATGTACAGTAGGTTTTTACTGACAAGGCAGCTACACTTTTGGGCCATATATTTAAAATTGAGAAAGATTCTGTAAGTTCAAAGATGGGTATACTTATTTTTGCAATGGGAACTTTCAGGTTTTTGATTTGAGTGAAGAAGCTCCTGAAAAGGTTCTAAACAAGATTTATGTCAAATTAGAAAAGCTTAAGATCAGTGGAGATGGTTTTGCTGCTGAAGTTGAGAAAAGATTGAGATTAATAGTAAGTTGGGCTGAAAATGGTGTTACAATGGCATATGATGCTTGATGTCTTGATGTTTTTTTTACTCTTTTCATGTGCATATCTGATTAGGTTGCAGGTGGGGATGGTACAGATAGTTGGCTGCTTGGAGTTGTTTCTGATCTTAAACTATCTAAGCCACCCCCAATCGCTACTGTGCCACTGGGAACTGGGAACAACCTTCCATTTTCATTTGGTTGGGTAAGAATATCTACTATGGTGCTATTTTAATAATGGTTTTACAAGATGGTTTTCAAATTACTGCAGATATCAATGCAGACAATAATGAGTCAATATATTGGGTTGCATTTCATTTCTTCAACTTTAGCTGCATTCCTTCTCACTTGACATATCTTCTTTTCCTTGTTTTGATTTTATCTTTTGTTAATTAGAAATGCAAGAGTCACATAATACTTTTTGTTCATATAGGTGCATATACTAGGAATTAGGGAGCAGCATTTGTTTCTCCTTCGTGCATTTTCCTAAGAACACATATATCATTTTTTGTATGCAAACATTCTATGGTTCATGATTAAAATCTATTGAGACCAATGCTCAGGTCGTTTGAATTTTGTACAAGGAAACTGCATTTCTTTCTACATTCATATTGGTGGATTTATGCACACACAAGCAACCTTGGAGTTACACTTATCATCAGATCCACAATATCCATTTGTGGTAACAACATCATAATGTTTTGTAATAGATCTTAGGTCAGTATTGATTATTTGAAGCCTAAATGAGGTATGCTTAAACTGTGCTTTACTAGCATGCAGGGAAAAAAGAATCCTGGCACAAATAAGGAGTCTGTGAAGTTGTTCTTGAAGCAAGTAATGGAAGCAAAAGAAATGAAAATAGACAGGTATTTCTGGCCTTAGTCAACTTGGAATATGTTTAATGTTATTTATTCCTGTTCTTTCCCACTTCTGAAATTTATTTTTGTTTTTGCCAAGTGCACTAAGGAACTTGGCATAAACTAAATCTGAAATGAAAAAGGATTTCCTATTTGGTATGATGGAATAAGTTCATTAACTTCTGCATGGACTTAGTTTATTTCAGAGTATCATAGAATTTAGAGTGTATCTTGCAGCAAGGCCAGGCAAAATTGCTAGGAAGATAACTTATGGAACTTTTACATAGTTGTCAACTTGCCTGACTTTTAGGATGAAAGGTGTATGGTTGGATAACAAACATCTAGTGAGGCTTAAATTATTTAGGCCACATTTGGGGAGTGCTTTTTTGGCCTAAATGGGATTCTGAAAAAGCCACTTTTTTGAATTAGGATTTTTGAAAAAACACTTTTTAGTGTTTGGCTAGTCACCAGCTTTTTGTTCAAAGTAGCTTCTTGCAAATGTAAAAAGCTAAATGAGTTTTTCCTGCTTTTTCAAATTTTTTTTTGATGCATATCAGAGTATGCAGAAACAGAGAAATGATTAGCAGGGTATACCGTAACAGTGAAATGATTTAAAGAAAGACTACTCAGATGTCTCAAGAGAGTTAATTCATTTATAAAATCACAGAATAGTAGTTGCAGCGGTTTTACAAATAATCAGTTACAGTAGTTGACTGAGTCAGCATCAATAATGCAAAAATCTGTTTTGTGCTTTTTTGCCAAACGATTTTTGAATGGCTTTTGAGTTTTGGCTTCTTCAACATTAAAAGCACAAAAAACCTGTTGGAGAAGCACTCCCAAATGCGGCCTTAATGGGTTATATCCATTCTCTGATAAATATGTTCACCTGAAATGTGTTGGAGGATTCATTGTTTGGGATATTGCTAATTTTCTGTAGCCTAGTCAGGTCAGTATATTTTTTTGTTTTTTCCTCCTCTAGATGATCCACCAATTTTTGCACATGGTGGAGAAACATGGGCAATCCAAATTGTTCCTCAGATAGGGGAGCTTGTGGATTAGGTTTTCTACACTTATCTTACAATTGAACCAACTAGGGGTGTTCACAGGTTGGTTTAGTTTGGTTGCGGGCTGTTTGGCCAACCGAACTGACCTGGTCAGGTTGGGGAGTTGGTCACTCGAAACCGACCGACCATTATTGAAAACTGGCCAACACGGGTTGTATTGGCTTGAATAGGTTTTCGGTTTGGTCTCGGTTCAAAAGATTTAAATTTTAAAAATTAAATTTAAATTTAAAGTATTGCAATGGCATTATTAAAAAATTAAATTTAAAAAAATTAAAACTTACAATATAAAATATTTTACACTAGGAAATTTGGGAATATCCCACTTTCCCATATTAAAAAAATTTAAATTTAAAATATAAAATATTAAAACCGACCCAACCTAGGGGTGTCAATGGTATTCAAAAATCTGATTTCGAATTCGAGATTCGACATAATCGAATTGAATTCAGATAATTCGAATATCTAACCGGTCGAATTTGGATATGACCTGATTCGCTTTGATAAATATCTGAATTCGATCGATTATTTAATTCTTTATATAATATATAAATTTTTTAAATGTTTTATATAATTTATATATATTATAATTAAATTATATAAATAATTTATATATTTATATACTTTATATAAATAAAATATTTATTTTAAATATTTATTAATTACCTAAAATACTTAATTAGTTGAATTCGAATCGAATCGAATCGAATATTCGAATATTTAATCGGATTCGAATTCGGATATTGCCTGATCCGATTCGCATTTGATCCGTTTACACCCCTAACCCAACCTCTCGATTTAGCACAATAGCTGAACCAGTGCCAACTGAAAATACTAGAAAACCGACCAACTCAGGTTGAGTTGGGTCGGTTGGTTGGTTTCATCAGTTTCATCGGTTTGATGAACAGCCCTAGAACCAACAACTGGTGTTCTCTAGCACAGACATTTATCTATATGTCCAAGGTGCAGTTTTCTTAATCAAATGAAGAGATTTTCCATAGAAAACAACAAACCTAATAAGTTGACTATCATAGAAGTCACATTTAAACATAAAATTTGATACACTTCTAACAGAAATTCATAAACCCAAAAAACTAAGTGCATTTTTTTTTGTACCCTGTAATTGTATGGGTATGAAAAATACAACATTTTGAGCTTTCGTAGGAAAACACTAAAAGGAACCTATGGATAGTATTGCCTGGTAAGAATTGTATTTGGCAATATCCTATTACTGTATTTTTGCTCCCTTCTTCTGTTCTCTTACTTCTTAGTAATTCTGTTATTAATATTGCCAAAATATATCAGCTGGCATATTATCATGAGGATGAGAGCTCCTGAAGAAGGTTCTTGTGATCCCATTCCACCTCTGGAGTTACCACAGTCTCTGCATGCATTTCATCGGGTCTCTCAAACAGATTCACTGAACATGGTAAGCAGCCCTTTGTTGCATTTTTTTAGTCACTTATTTTACTTTGTGAAAACATTTCTAATTATGCATAGTATAATTAGATATAGAGGCTGTTCCAATATTTTAAACTCCATAAAAGGATAAACAATGCAATAACATGAGAAATAAATTAATTTGAAAAATCATACTTTTTATATTAAGTAAATAGAATAAAATACATTTTTGATTGGCATCTGGTAACTTTATTAATAGAAAAAACTTGATTTACAAAGGGGAGCACCTAGTGCCCCAAGATTAAAATTTATAATGTTCTAAAGTTTTATAATAATTCAACAGGAAATTTCCAATATTTCTAATACATTTCTAAATTTCCAAGTGGTCGACATTTTCATGGAGATGGACATTTTAAATTCTGGTTGAGTCCCAGGCTTTGATGACATGTGATTGTTCATCCTTTGTGCTTGATGCATCTGAATCAATTATCACGTTTTGGTAATTTATTTTCTGCTATGCAAAAGTTCTTTTTGCAGCCCTTAAGGGGAGAGCTCTCCATAAAATTTCATCTTCTTCTTGTAGTTGCTTGGTTTCTCCTTTTTATACCTGCTTGAATGGTTTTTTTTTTATTTGATGTATTTCCTATTTTTCAAGGGTCACTTACACGTATTATTATTTTTTGTAATTCAAAGTTTGAATATTTAGATTTTAGAAGATGATGAACCAGAAAGAATTCTATTGAGTTGGATGATCTATAGTTTGAAGGTTAGGGTTTCTTTTTGAATATCGAGTTCTTGCTGTTCTCTCTATTATATTTTTTAGTATTTTGAATTGTTAACACTGATTTGTGATCCAGTCCCTCTATGGGTTGATGAATTGGCTGAGCTTCTTGAAATAGATTCTAAGCAAGACATTCTCTTTGTAGTAGGATTTGTTTGTCATTGACCTGCAAAATCTAAAAGATCCCCAAAAATTTGTCATTAATTCTTTTGTTGGATAATCAAGAGTTGTCATTCTAATTATGGCCTAACATGTTCAAAGAGAGGGGGTGGGCCTTGGCACAACGGTTGGGTTGCTCCATTGCAAGTTTCAACCTGGGTGACCAGGGTTCAAATCTTGGAAACAGCCTCTCTGTGTATCCTCCATGGGTAAGGCTGTCTACATCTGTCCCTTGCCAAACCCCACATTGGCAGGAGCCTTGAGCACTGGACTGCCTATTTTTTACACGTTCAAAGAGAACACAAATGCAGTAGCGTGATGTTCCAATCCTAAAAGAAGAAAATAAGCTTGCTACATACATTAAAATTTTCCCAAAACCTCAATGACCATACTTTAACAAACCAACCTTAATGCATTATTTCTAATTTATATTAAAAGCCTTAGTTTCTGGGAGGTACTCTTAAACTTCTGTGCATCTGAAAATGAAACAGAGAATGTAGAAGGAAAAATGATTACTTTGTTGGATAAAATAATTGTTGAGTGCTGATCCCAAATAGTTGGAAAAATCCTTCTTGAGTTTACTAAAATAACTGATCATTACCTTCTTTTGAAGATCCTGTCTCAAGTGAAGTATGAATATGACATTATTTACTTCCATACTAACAATCTGTTTTGTTGACCTCCCTTCAGGAAGGTTGTCACACATTTCGTGGAGGATTTTGGAACTACTTTAGTATGGGTATGAATTTCCATTGTGTGAATCCATACTTGGGTTATATTATTTTCCTTACGATTTTTTTTTGCATTGAAAATAATTAGAAGTTCAAAATCGGAAAGTTCCATTTGTTTCAGTGCATTATTAAGTTATTATTGGTTTATCTTAAAACTTCTGAAGAATTGGTAACTCATAGGATCTATGTTGACCTCATTAGAGCACTCAGCTTTTAACTTATTGATCAGCTAGCGACAGAAAGTATTTAGAACCATGCTTACATTCCTTACAACCAAGTACTAAAAAGCCTACTTGGGCAGTTCCATTCTTATCAATTGAAATCTTTTGGAGTAAGGCAGTTATACATTAATGGAAATTGCTTTTAACTTTTTCTATCATAGAAGGAAATAATAATCTGCCTGCTTGAGGTTGTCCATTCTTCCAGGTTCCTTGAGGCATAGAACAGCTGTTTTAACTTCCAACATCCAGTTTAAGTTTGCTAGCTATATCATGCATCTACCTCTGGTTATCAGTTGTAAAAACTGTGTTAGGAAACCAAAAAAGGACATTAGCTAATGTTGGTTCCAGTTATCTAGAATCTTGGGAGGGCTAGACTGGGTTTGGTCCTGACTTTTGAATTTTCACACAAAGCAGCCACCCTTACTTGAACCGACGTTCTCACACTAGATTTTACCTGTTTCAATAATTGATCATTGATCTAACAAAAAATAGAAACTGAAAAAAAGGAAACACACACACACATGCAAAGTTGTTCCAATACCCCAGCCCATATGCCATCTCATCCAACAAGTTTGCAACTATTTCCCTATGTGTTTTGTCCTCATAATATGGGCTTTCTTGGAATCTCAATTTAGGAGGGGTCAAAGGGATTGTGAAACTATGTATTCTTGAAACTCTTTAACTCTATGGAAGGTGAGTGTTTTGATTTCTCCATTCTTGATAGTAAGTTGCGGTCTTCTAATCCCTTGGGGTATTAATATTTCTCGTATGCTTTGTTCTTCAAAGTCCAATTTTCTCCTCCTGGAGATCCTTCTGATTTCTTGATTAGGGCAGTTTGTAAGGGACCAGTTTCAAAAAAAAAAAAATAGAGCTTTTTGTTGGGAACAAACGTATTGGACACAGTTGAAATTATTTGTATTAGGGAGAGGTAGAACACTCTAGACATGAATGATAAATTCACAATACTTAATATAGTTGCTGTTTTTTCTTCATTGATTTATGTATCCAAGTTTGGCTTTTCTTGTCCGTCAATTATCTAATTAGTTATATAAAAATAAAAATTATCATAAAAAAATATAACTTGAATAGAAGGTGAGTCTTGAAATTTTATTCTTTTTTGCTTGCCTAGTCTGACACCTTTTACCTGTGTCAGCTACACTAATACCAGTATCCATGTTATATAGCCAAAATATACATGCCGAAACTACGATAGGAAAATGCATATATGTAGATAAAAGCTATATGATTATGATTTTATATAAAATGAATGCTTGTTTGTGTCTGTTAACGTAAGCTACAGAGTACCTTTTTTTTTTTAATCTAGAATGGTGCAGGCAGCTCTTCCTATTAGTTTAGTGTATTTTTGTTGCACAAATTAAGTTTTTTTCCTGGAATTGTAATGAGATGTATGGTAGAACTCTGTTATAGAATTCCAGCACAACTTGGTAAGTAGCAACTGAGTATGCTATTAAATTAAAATAGTTTTTGAGACAAGAAAAATTATGTTACTCTTTTACAGGAATGGATGCCCAAGTATCATATGCATTTCATTCTGAGCGGAAGTTGCATCCTGAGAAATTTAAGAATCAGCTAGTTAATCAGGTATAGTTTTATTTTATCTTCTGTATTTGGATTTTTTTAGTCAACATTTACTGCAATCATAGTTGTATTTATAATAGACTTTTTCTTTTAACTATGCAAATGATTGTTGAACTACAATCTAGAACCTTGATTTTGATTACCAGCATAACTGGGTAGCTAAATCGACCATCATATTTTCATGGGCCTCACTGGAAAAAGTATAATGTTCAAATCAGATGGTTAAAAGTCTTGAGCAATGTAAATCTTTTAGGATTTTGAGTTTCGAGTTAAGACCAATTACATGGTTGACCCTTTGGAGGTTTTATTTTTATCAGTATGTAAAGTTTGGATGAACAAAGTACAGTTTTTTGCTCCTATTTTCGTTATTCTTCATGGAGGCATGTATTATTTTTTCTTTTCCTAGTTACAGTCAACATAAGAAGGTGGTCCTTGGCGCAAAGGTTTGGTTGCTTCATTGTGACCTGGGTAACCAGAGTTCAAATCTTGGAAACAGCCTCTCTGTATGCGGGGGTAAGGTTGTGTAAATCTATCCCTCCCCAGACCTCGCATTGGCGGGAGGCTTGTGCATTGGGCTACCTTTATTTTGTTCCAGTCAACATAATTTTTCTTGCTTGCATCAGTCTATTGAAGTATATGAATTCATTGTATTATTGGTAGTGCGACTCATGCAATGCATTCCATCAAATATTTATAGGGAATATGTGCACTTATGGATTTTATTTTGATCAGAGTACTTACGCAAAGCTTGGATGTACACAAGGATGGTTTTGTGCTTCTCTTTTTCATCCTTCTTCACGGTGGGTAATTTAGTTCATAGCTCATACAACTGTTTGTGTTTATGAGAAATACCATTGCTCTTATTTTTTTCCTATTAATTCTTATCATATATGCACACAGGTAAATGTAGATTTTTGACCCTGAGGTGTTTTTGTTATTTACTGCATAATTCTAGTTGGCTATTCAATTGTTGCTTATTTTTTTAAAAATATTATCAGTTGAAATTGTGACTCAGGGTAGGAGAAGCAGAAGGGATTTGCTGCATTATGGATTGGGTAGCATATAAATTTTAGTAGAACCATATCAATAGGGCTCTAGACAACAAACCTTGAAAGAGAAAGGTATCCGAACCTCACATTAGGATCTCTAGAAATCAGTTAATCTTCTTATGGAGATAAGAAAATTCTTTCTCAAAGAAGACGGTTAATATTTTTCATTACCTTTAGAAAGAAAGTGCAGCAAATCCAAACCAATCCAAAATAATAATGAAAAAAAAAGAAAAATGCTGCACATGAGTAGATATTTGGATCGGAGGTACTTCATGAACAAGTATATTCTTCTCATTGGGAAGAAGTAAGCTGCTTGTCACCTGAGAAATGATATCATTAACACTCATGTTTTGTCACCTAATACCACCAATAAATAAAAATGGAATAAAACTATACTTAAAAACAAGTATATGTTATTTTTTTTGATAAATGGTAAATACGTATTTGTATTACTGCAATGGTTGGTGAGAAACCCTCAATTCTTTACAAAAATACGTGACTCTATGTATTCGCAGTGAATACAAAAAGAAGTGGAAGATAAAAAATAATTGAAGACTAGTGGTCTCTAAAATTTGAAAATTGAATCCCCACAAAAAGGTTAGAAGTCCCAGCCCATCTCGTCAGGGATCATTCTATCTTCCCAATGATTGATGATTGCTTCCACTGGGATAGTCTTTCCCTCAAAAGCCTGACATTTTCTTTCTTTCCACACTGGCCAAGAAATGGCAATAGGGAAAAACACATAACTATTAGATTATCACATTGTACCCAAAAGTAGCATGCAAATTTGATAACTCATTTTTTAATGGAAGATATGACTTAATACTTTAATAGAAGAATGAGGATACTTTCTCTGGATATGTTTTAAGTGGATCATGCACCCTTAATGCACACTATATAGTTGTCATGAAATCATTTACGTCTTGGGAATCTGTTGTTGCAATAATATATCTTGTATCATCTAGGTCTCTTGTATAAGGAAAATGAATGAGTTAATATATATGCAGGAACATAGCAAATCTTGCAAAGGTTAAGATCATGAAGAGACATGGTCACTGGAAAGATCTCCACATTCCTCACAGGTGAAATTAATGGATTTGTTAATATGCCATTCAGTTGAACTTTCTAAAGTTTCAGCTTCCATATAATTGTTAAACTTTATTTCTATAATTATCATGGTGGTACCTGGAAAAGATTGAAATATGCTCAGGTTAATTGTTTCGTATATTGGTAGCTTGAAGCAATGCTACTTATATGCAGTATTACGACCTGTTTTATTATAAGAAGGTGAGAAAATATATGTGGTTGATTATGTGAAGGAAATGTTGTCTATATGCTAATACATTAAGGAGTTTCTTTGGAAAAAGAGTATTTATTTCTGATTTGTATCTTCTATTAGAGAACAATAATTTTTATCAACTACCTTTTCTCTTTGGAACTTTTACATGCTAATAAACTTTTAATAAACTTGGAAGGTGTTCTCATGGTCAATCTGGCTATCAATTTCAACTGATAGAAAAAAAATCTGGTTATCAATTTTGCAACATGGTCCATTACTCTCCTGCTTTTCAATGGTTTATTCTCTGCCTATGTTAACCCTAGGTCCAACTTAAGTCGCATCTCTAGTTTTTATATAGCTAAATCTTGAACTTACTAGACATCCCATACCATGCTCAATGCCAAAAAATGTGATTTTCCATATTGCTAATGCACATTTGGCATCCGGTGCCAAATGGGATATCTCAACTTTGTTCTGGAGGCTGTTAATTCAATGGAGCTTTGAAGGGGTGTGGAAATCATAAGTTGCACTGGATACTGGAGAATACAAAAGTATTATTGTCCTGTCAAATGGTTAAAATAACCATGAAGTGTGAGAACTGTATAGTCTAGAATTAAGGATGAAAAAGGGTGATATGGATCAATTGGAGGAAAGGGACAATTAACAACTTAGGTTAAAATTATAGATAAATTTGAGAGAGAACCAGGGAATCTAGGGCTAATTAAATGGCTTGATCAATTGGCTTTATGCAATTAAATGGTTGGACAAATTGGGGGCAGGGGAAGGGGAATCCACATGATATAGAAATAGTAGCAGGAAAAGAATACCTTTATTCTACAAATGATATTAATCTAATACACTAGGGCTCCCTGGTCCAGTAGATCAAATGGCTGTATTGATCAATCTTGGGTGGTCAGAAAAAGAGCCTTAATCTTGTCAATGAACTAGTACAGCTGGCTTTGGTTGATGCAGTACAGGTTTTTGATTGGTCTGTTAGATGGGGGTGCCCTGACATTTAGAGCAGCACTTGGTTGCTTGCCTAATGAGGAATTTACTCCTTACACCTCATATTCTTTTTCTCAGCTACATAATTAGAGTTTTATGTGTTCGGTTTCTCTTCACGAAACAACTGGAGCCTTCCTGTTGTTTCTTTTTACAGGTAAGTTATGCTTTTTTTTTTGTTTTTTTTTTCTTTTTATAAATTTAAGATAGCAAGAGAAAAAAGACGAGGAAAGAAGCAGAAATATTCAAGGTCATCAACAGAATATGACTTACCCCTATAGCCCCCACCCCCACCCCCACTTTTAATATTGTTGTGGTCATCCATTTCCTATCAATTTTACATTTTTCATTGTTAACAAAATATAATAGAATACTGATAACAGAATATTAATTAGATATTTACCAGATTGAGGTCAAATGTGCACTAAAATATGGAAATTCTACAATCTCTGCCATCTGTTATTTGTCACTGTGACACTCTAGCTTTTAATAAACAACAAGAGGAAAACCTCATCTCAACTATATGGGGTGGGTTACTTGAATCCTGTATTCCCATTCCACTCCATCTATGGCAATATTTATGGTTGGAATAATTTCTGCTATTTCAACCTTGTTTCTTTTGGCCTGCTGCTGGCTCTTATAAACCTTTCAACTTGCATGAAGTTGCTAGGCTACACTTGGTTTTGTATGCACATGCCCAAACCATCTTAGTTTGCATTTCCTCATTTTATCACCTATTTGGTCAACTGTTAAGTCTCCATGAATATGCTCATTTCTAATCTTATCTTTTTTTTTCCATTCTTCCGTTTCAATATCCACACACTTTCTATGCTCATTTTTTGAATATGCTACTTTTTGACTGCCCAAAACTCTGTCCCATATAGCATTGACAGTCACCAGGCTTTTGATAACATATTGTAAAATGCTATGATAGTACTTTTGCTATGACTATCAGCCATCTCTATTATATCATCATCATCATCGAAGCCTTATCCCAACTATATGGGGTCGGCTACATGAATCCTGTTTTTCCATTCCATTCTGCCTTTTATATTATAGTAGTTGATTTATGCTAAAACAAGAAAAATTTGGGTTTTGATGTAAACTGAAATACAATATACCTGATCAATTTCTGTTCTTTAGGGATGCTGAATGAATGCTCTTGAATGCTTTCCACTAGATCTTTAGTAGTTCATTTATGCTAGAACAGAAAGCTTGTAGAGAAAAAATAAAAACAAGAGAGAAGAAACCTATAATAACTCAATGGGCACCTAGAGTCAGTCGGTTCATGAGAATCAGCTACCATAAACACAATATTTAGAAAATTTCACTCAAATACATTTTTGCAATGGTAAACACATATATAGACTCTCTAGGGTCAGCCAAACAGTCAAAGGCTGGACACAACAATATCTATTTTGCCATTAGTTAACTTCAGTCCAAACTCCAAAGAAACTAAATAACAAGACTATGACTAGACAAGAGTACCTGGCCAAATCTCACATAAAATTTGCAAATGACCATAACGTCTACATTATTTAAATATACAACATATAAAATTCAAGAAATCCAATATCTGATCACTTGGTTCCTTCATTATATGTACATTGTGAGAGCATATTTTACTTAAATATTTTGACACAGGGTATTGACATTATAATTGTTACTTTCTGTTGAGGCTGTGTATTCTATGTGAATTGTGAAGATCCAATGTGCTATAAGTTATTTTTTTTAAAGCTCTCTCTCATCAGTATATTCTTTTAGCACCACAAGAATGAACTTAAATATTTACACTTCTTATCCAGACATGAGTAGTTCTATTCTCTGTGCAGGTATATCTTCATGGTTAGTCTAATAAATTACCTGTCTTTGATATACAGCATTAGGTCAATTGTCTGTCTCAACTTGCCTAGCTTTTCTGGTGGACTTAATCCATGGGGAACACCAAATAAGAAGAAAGAACTAGATGTGAGTTCTACTTTTTAATACTTGTTTTGGAAAATCAACAGTATCAATGCCATTTCCATACTGCAATTACGTTTACCCAATTGATTTGTTACTTTTCTCTAAAAAAAGTATTTCTGCTTATATTTTTTAACAAAAGTTTCTTGGATTATACTCTACAGAGAGGCTTGACCCTTCCATATGTAGATGATGGCCTTCTTGAGATTGTTGGTTTTAGGGATGCTTGGCAGGGGCTTATTTTACTTGCTCCAAAGGGACATGGAACTCGTCTTGCACAGGTTAGAAGAAAAACTTCTCATGGTGTGATAATTTTCACTTTTTTTTTGCATTAGGACCATCATTTTGAAATGAGAATGCAAGGTATATCATGAATGAGAATTGAGATGATTGCATAACTTGTAATTCTAGTTGCATGTTTATACTGATATATGAATGTTACCATAGAAAAATCAAGGGAGAGATATTTCTATGCATAAACTCCATAAATTTTATGTCCTTGGTGCTATAATGAGCAAGCATAAGCATTTGATATTTAGTTTTCTATTGGTTGGCCCTTTCTTGGATGGGTCAGAGCCTAAATGGGTACTGGTTGACTATGATAATGATCTTTAAGAGAAATATAATAAAAGAGTGACAAATTAAAAGTAGTTTGCTTTAACACTAAAAGACTTGAAAAATGTTGGCTGGTACTCTTTGATTGATATGCTTTTGAGGGAATATCTATTTCTCCATGTAATAGGTTTCTCACCCCAATTGAACATCTAACTCTCTTCATATCCCAGACCCATGTTTTTTGTTGTTGAAGATGGATTTTATCACAAAATACTTTACTGGATAAAGTGGTCTTGTGGGGACATGAGAGTTTGTGATTTAGTCTAAGTTTTGAAAAAGTTTTGGTGTGGGTACAAGAGTGGAGAACCAAGAATTAGAGAAGATATGAATGCTAGGGCTGTCAGCTCCCCTCCCAACATAACAATCTTGAAAAAGATTCTAAGTAGCTTAGGATTACAAAAATACCCTTACAAGGAATGTACCCTTATTATTTTATGATTGACGTCCCTCTGGTTGATCAAATAAATCTTAAAATTTGCTGCTTGTCAGTTAGTAGCTACTGTTTTTCATTCAAGATGAAGCTATTCTCCTTTATCTTCCAGATGGTATGTCTATAAAAGTTGGAGCACATTATTGGATTCATCCTACTTACAGATCTTGATAGTATGTTGGACCAACTAAATAGTTGTGATGCGTATTGATATGCATAATCACAGCATTTTTTTATTTTATATTTACTTTTTTATAATTAATAACAAAAGATATTAATTGAGGATCAAAGGTGAAAGAGAGATATACTAGAGGCAGGCTGGAAGCCCCAAAGACAGGAAAAACAAAAGGGCTTACAAGATAGAGATATGGAATAGAAGAACACAAAACCAACCTAAACAACACTGCTAAAACCCCCAATGCAACACTAAGACCTAGACATGCTCACCCACCCAAAAGCACAAGTAAACCATAACTGACCTTACTGCTGAACCTCCAAAAACTTCCTCTTCCCTACACAGCCATCACAAAAACAAAAGAAAATAATGCCATCTCATATAATATAACTATTATAGAGGGCAAAAAGTATGAAGAAACTGAGAAAATAGCATCAAGTCTTTAGACTTGCATGATGGCTCTGCTGACCTACAAGAAAGGAAATGTGGTAGTTTGGATAGTGAAGTCTTTCCAAATGTTTAAATTTTGTGGTGTTCTTGTTGTTCACCACTTCTGACCAAGTAATGTTCTATCTTAATAGGGTGATTTTAGTGGAAAAAATGTTATTCTATTGAGTAGGGGTGTCAATGGACCGGTTTTGGATTGGACCCCGTCCAAACCAAAATTAATTTGAATGGATTGGATGGACCAACAAGACATTGAATTGGACCAGTCCAGACTTAATGGTCCTAATTGGATTCGATTGGACCTGGTCCATCCATAGTGAATTTATATTGGATTGAGCCAATATCTGGTCCATTGATAAAAGATATGAATATAGGTGTCAATGGACCGGGTTTGGGTTAGAATTAATCTAAATTAAAACAAATTTGAACAGATTGGACGGTCCAGACATTGAATTGGACCGGTCCAAAATATTCATTGGATTGGATTGGACCTGGTCCATTTGTAATGGACTCACATTGGACTGGATTGGATTGGACCAAATCCAGTCCAATTGACACCCCTACTATTGAGGACCATTCTTAACAATGGTCATAGTTGAATGTTCAACAACATTTTTTTTTTGAGAAAAGGTGAGGTATTCTATTATATTAAAATAAAAGATAAATGCTGCCATTAAAACTAGCACAGCAAGGAGCTGTGTAGCTCAGAAAACCCATACATCAATTTGTTCTTTGGTGATTACAAAAAAGAGTATCATAAAAAAAAGACCTATATGGTATGTTCCCGAACATTTTGTGCATTGCAGTCCAAGAGTAGATTCTGCCCCAGAGAGCATTGACAATGCCTTCTTCTGTCCTGCCACTTCCTTCAAAAATTCTGGAATTTCTTTCCAGTCACACAGTCCAAATTAAAGCCAAGGGAATAATTCCCAAACAACTTTTCCTTTTCTGCTTAATCCATGAATGTGCCAACCCTTAGAGCCTCCATCACGGTCTAAAGAAAGCTGTAATTCTTTCGTCACTCTATTTTCTTCTTTATCTTGAATTTCTCAAGCAGTTTGGGTGATTTTTGCTGTAAAAATCACTAGAACCGATCTGCTAGACCCGTTCTCCTGCATTAAAAGGTAAGTCTCTGGCTGACACGCATGAGAATGCAGGTTTGAGTTTGATAGGAGCCACTTTATGTAAAAATGCCAAAAGTTAGGTTCGTATCCAGTGATTCAAGTCCACCCCTCCCAAAACCCTAGATAGCTAGGACCAAAATTAGGTAATGGCCTTTTTTTGATAAGTTTTCTGTTAAATCTGTCATAATCAATCTTTTGGAAACTCAAACTACACTGACAACTCTAAATAAACAATAGAAATAAACTTAACAACAAATATTTGTTAGAATTAAAGGCAACAAACCAATAATGTCTTTATTTTACATAATCAGGGGTAGAGTCAAGAGACACATTACTGTTGAAGATTAATTAGTTTTATGATGTTTTTCTGAGTAGATGTCTATGTTAGTTGTTGTGAGCTTGAGAGCTGTACTCGAAGTAGAGGAGAGGAGAAGAACACCACTGATATGTTGTGAATGTCGAACTGTACTGCCCAGTCGACCATGCTATTATTTATATTTGAATGTAGTACAATGATACAAGTAATTACTGGAATGCCCTTGATTAGTGATGGGACACCCAGTTAAATTAAAGCATTAAACAGGCTTAGGCCCATTAACACAGGCCCAGTTACAGGATAACTTAAACTTAAGTATGGGCTAATAAGAACTCTTATCAACCGAACACTCATACAAAGAGACTTCATTCTAACATTCTAACACTCCCCCCTCAAGCTAAGCATGGATATCAATCATGTTTAGCTTGCCAAGTATGTCCCTGAACTTTGTTGCTGCCAGCCCTTTAGTCAATAT